AACATCTGCAAGAAAACCACCAAGTTCAGGGAACACCAAGGATCTCCTCCATCATCTCCTCCTCCTCCATCTCTCCATCTCCTCCCTTCCAGAAACCCCATTCCCTTCTAGCACTGATAACGGAACTCAGTTGCATCATGAAACGTCTGCAAGAAATCCACCAAGAGAGCACCAAGGATCTCCTCCATCATCTCCTCCTACTACTACTACTTTCCAGGAACCCCATTCCCTTCTAGCACTGATAACAAAACTCAGTTGCGTCATGAAACGTCTGCAAGAAAACCACCAAGCTCAGAGAGCACCAAGGATCAAAGTCCTCCTCCTCCTCCTCCTCCTCCTCTCCACCTCCTCCTTTCCAGGAACCCCATTCCCTTCTAGCACTGATAACAGAATTCAGTTGCATCATGAAACATCTGCAAGAAAACCACCAAGCTCAGAGAGCACCAAGGATCTCCTCCATCTTCTCCTCCTCCTCCTCCTCCTCCTCCTCTCCACCTCCTCCTTTCCAGGAACCCCATTCCCTTCTAGCACTGATAACAGAATTCAGTTGCATCATGAAACATCTGCAAGAAAACCACCAAGCTCAGAGAGCACCAAGGATCTCCTCCATCATCTCCTCCTCCTCCTCCTCCTCCTCCTCCTCCTCCTTTCCAGGAACCCCATTCCCTTCTAGCACTGATAACGGAACTCAGTTGCATCATGAAACGTCTGCAAGCAAACCACCACGTTCAGGGAGCACCAAGGATGATGATGATGATGATGATCATCATCATCATCATCATCATCTCCTCCTCCTCCTCCTCCTCCTCCTCCTCCTCCTCCTCCTCCTTTCCAGGAACCACATTCCCTTCTAGCACTGATAGCGGAACTCAGTTGCATCATGAAACGTCTACAAGCAAACCACCAAGTTCAGGGAGCAACGAGGAACTTCACAGGCTTGAGGAAGGTGGACCAATTCGTCCTCCCCTCAACCTCCAGGCTACTCTTGAACTTAACACGAAGTCCACATGCACAAATGGCCTTAAGGATGCTTTTCTGAGAAACGTCTGGAATGAACCATTAGAGAGCAGGGGAGCTTTCATCAGCGCGCGCCACCTCCCCAAGGAACGTGTGCCACCAGAAGGAAACCCTCGAGGATCTAATAATAACAGGCAATTGAGAGATTTACAAAAATTCAGAGGAAAACAAAATCAGGGCAACAAAAATCTCCAAACAATTAAGCTTTTATCTTCTACACAAAAACAACAAGTACAACCACCGCCTCTGCTTTCCACCCTCCCACCCACACAGACCACAAATGAGCATGAAAAAATCCTTTAAAAGTAACCTCTGTGCTCCTTCCCAGGGAAAAAAAAGCAGAAAGTGTAAAGTGAGCGAAACATTTCATCGCCACTTGGAAGAGGCGCCAAGTCTCGGTTGCGCAGTGAAATTTGACGATATTTTCGCCCGCGACTCGTTTTTCCTAGCCTTTGTTGTTGTTGTTGTTAGTTGCGCAGTCGTGTCCGACCCATTGCGACCCCATGGACAACGTTCCTCCAGGCCTTCCTGTCCTCTACCATCTTCTGGAGTCCATTTAAGCTCATGCCTCCTGCTTCAGTGACTCCATCCAGCCACCTCCTTCTCTGTCGTCCCCTTCTTCTCTTGCCCTCCATCTTTCCCAGCATCAGGCTCTTCTCCAGGGAGTCCTTCCTTCTCATTAGGTGGCCAAAGGACTTGAGTTTCAACTTCAGGATCTGGCCTTCTAAAGAGCAGTCGGGGTTGATCTCCTCTAGGACTGACCGGTTGGATCGCCTTGCAGTCCAGGGGACTCGC